AAAGATTGCATGCGATCGCGAAGAATCTGCGTTCGCTCCAGTGGCGCCTGTAAAGTTAACGCCGTGTTAGACAGGCATGGATGCCACCCCAATCTTCAGTCAATTACAACACACCAGTGCTTCGCGCGTTATGTCCATGATTGAAGATATCCATCACTTTTTGCACACTGTTGACTTCATACTCATTCAGCCCTGAAATAACGACGTTGTTCTTTCCATCCTCGCGGGCATGCAGCCTCTTACGAGCATTCAGTAGGTCGTATAGCTGACTGAAAGTGTGGTATTGGTCAATGTCTACTTGGCAAGTTATTTGCGGCAGGAAACTCCACCTTTGATAGATTTCGTAAAATCCAACATAAGCCGCCAAGTGTTGATATTCTGGTTTTTCGAGCAGTTTAAAGATATCGCGCCCGGCCATGACATAGAGACCATTTGCTTCATCCAGCATAGTGTATGTTTTTCCGCTTCCAGTTTGTCCGCTAGTTGCAAGTTCGGTGTTAACTTCTGCGAACTTCGACCCCGTTGCATGCAACTTACTATGCGAAACATGTAGCTTTTCCTCCTGTGAAGATGTACTCGACAAGCGGAAATGCAGAGCGGCGATATACCTGCAACGATATTGATTTTTTGTGGGCAGGCACCTGAAATATAAACCAAGGAAAATATGTCTCACATCATCGTTTGTGCAATCGCAATCAAAGACTTCATCAAACGTGAATTCATGCTGCTCAACATACTTTGTCAAGTCCACCTTAACTCTGCAAATAAAGGGAAACGAGTCATTTCCAGAGACAAGTACGAGAGAGAAGCAAACAAAGCCTCCTACTTTGGTTCGTTCACAATCAGAGTTCGTCGATCCGACACAGTGGCAACATCTGTTTGGTTGGTCCTCAGTTCTTTTTTGTTCAGCGGCCGTTTCCTGACACAAACGCGAATTCTATCGGACAAGTCTACTCTGGAGTTTCCGCTTCCCGCACCCCCTCCAACCGTTACTCTTTGCGCGGCGGCAATCGATGTGGGCACTCCATACGCATTCAATAAAGGCTGAGGCCCTTTGTTGCTGCGGCTCGGCGAAAACGAGTATTTCACAGTCACTGGTTCATCTGAATCGTCTGAGTCGAGCGCATTCAAGTCGAAAGCTTTCGAGTTTTGTTGCTGATTGAGTTGCGGCGCCGAACGGTCAGTTCGTTCTGGACTCGGGGCACGGTTCGATCTTGGAAGGGACCTCACGAGGGGGGCGTCATCGTGAGGAGGTGCTGATAGCGTTGAGGCCATGTTGGACGTACTTGCGGACTGTGGTCAAATAAGGGGAAATTGATTGTAAGCGCTGGGGGCATGTGTTGAATGAAAATCAAGGCTAATTTACGGATGCCGATTTCCCGAAAGCAACGCCGGCGCCCGCCGCCAGCACCGAAGACGACGCTGGTTTCGGTAAAAAGGACATTCCTGGTTTCATGTCGCGCTGCTGCGGGATCAACTGAATGTGAAGTGGAGAGGGATTCGCCAGGTCCGTTTCGTTCTTGAGATGCTGGTTTGAATGCAAGTTAATGGCAATTCCTTCGCATTCGTCCAGTGCGCATTCAGCTCACCTGGATCAGCTGGAATCTAAAAACATTCGCGAGAGTCAATTAAGGTTAAGAACGTTGAGCAACAGGAATAATCGGGGGAGGTCCTCACAGCCCTGGCATATAAGATTAGTCATCATAGACCCAGACATCACAAACAAACACGCTCACGCTTGCGGTCCTCCATCGAACTGACGCCCACCACACCATAGTCTAAAGAGAAACGGCCGTCAAACACGCCGCAACGAGTCCGCAAGTCGAGCGCAAACCTTGCATCGTCAGGAGAGTCAGACTCTGCAAAGAATCGATCCCGAAAGCCATGAAATTGTCGAGGTAGTGGTCGAGTCCTGCCTTGACAAGCGTCGCGGAGAATATGCTCGACATTATTCGACTGATTTTTATAAACAAGACGATAAATTGGTTTTATTTTGCGTTGGTTTGCAAGCGGGGTTTTAACGTGACTTTCACAAAGCTGCTCTGCTTTCGAATGCACTGACACGTTCGAACGGCGTGCGAAAAGTCCTGATAATATAATTGGCTGGTCGCAATGTCCGATAACCGTCTGAACAATGCGAGAACACTTCGCTGATTGCTGCCTTCACGTAGTTTCTCATTATAACATCCCAGCACGGTGATATGGACAGCGTATTTGGTGACGCACCATCAATGCCTCCTGCACAAGGCAGCCTTCTTCGTTTTTAAAATTAAGGTTAAATTTAACAACGAGCACTCACTATGCTGAACGGCTCGACTGGCGCGTTGGACAAGCTAATGGGCGAATTGAGGCTTGCTGCTGATTTCTATCTGGACCGATCCCTGGAAGAAATGTTTGATGACGATGACGAGATGCAGGACATTGGTGGTGTGGCAGAAGATAGACGGGTGGAGGGCCAAAACGCACGGATAGAGAGGGAGACCGCCTCAATCGAAAGGAACGCTGATATCTGTCAGTCTACTAGACGTGGCGAGTCGGACAAAGTGACGCGCTTCTGGGAGGACACATCCATTGCGCTCGGACTGTCGGTCGATCTTGTGTGCGCAAGGGTTGAATCGGATGCAGGATTGGCGCAGTTTACAGTTGTGCAGGTATTCCTCCTTGCCTTTTCTGCTTGTTTTGTGCATGTTCGATCCTGACACTGAGCATGACTTGTCCGATCTTGCAAATTTCAGCTCAAAACTCTGAATCGGTCTCTGTGCTCTTTTCTCGCCACGCGTTGCAAGTCTTACCAGTCGAAAGCGCAATGGATTTCATCCACACGATCACTCGTGACTGAACTTCACAAGATCCATCAGGAAAACAATCTGCATGAGCAATCCACACCCATTATTCAAGCTGCGCAAATTTCCCATAATGATTCTCGGATGGATCCTGTTCCTTCCACTCCCTTACGCTCGTTCCCAATATCTGGTATCTCCACTCCCGAAAAACGTTTGGGAAGCCCGTCTGTGAAATCCAGAGTGAGAGCCCATTTTGCCGCAAATTCGCCTGTACCTCAAAGCCCGCTATCAGCCCCCTCAGGAGGAGGAATGGAAACTGCAACGCCACAGTTTAGTCTTCTTCTTGGGCCATCCCCTTCAAAATATTTAACACGATGCATTGTGCCAGGTTTCGTAACCCGCTGCTGGGGCGCGTCAACACGAATTCTCCCACCTTGGCACTCCTGACTCCCAAACCATCTCTACTTTTCTCAAATCGACTGCAAACACCAACGGCCACAGAAGCAACTGACTCATCAATTGGGACCTCGCCTTCTGTTTGGCATGCCTCAAGCACAGCAACCCCAGATCAATCAAAAAAAGCTTCTCATAAACGCGTTTCTGCCATGGGAAACAGTAAAAACTGGAAACCATCGAAGCAGCATTATACAGCCATTGCGAAACTTGTGTAATTGAATAATTTTCTTTCCAAAACCAAGAGCTTTAAGAATTATTTTATATTCTGCAGAAAACAGATCCCGCCTTCCTTTCACTTGCTCAATGACTTAAGCAGCTACATTCATTCAGAGTCGTGTCTACCAAGCACGAATGATAGTCGACAGTTTTCAGTTAGCTTTTATTTAACTCCTGCTCTGCGTGACATGCTGCAAGAGGGCATGAACATGAACATCTACTTTTTGTTGGAATCACCAACAGCGTTTGCGAGTCCTACATTTGGTCTTCCTGCGGGAACTGTTCAGTTCATTAAGATTGGAGCGGTTGTATCAAAGAGTGTAGTCTATGTATGTGTTCGCCTGTCTTTTTGAAGTTAATGAGTGAAATACTTAAACAAATAACGCCAATAGCATCAGCGCGCAGATATGGTCAATCTATCAGGCATATTCAAAGAAAACGCGTGTCACAATTGGGAAAGTCCACTGAATTCGCCAGGACCAGCAATGACGCTCACATTTCTACTTCCATCATCACATCTGGCGCCGATTCATTGTTTAGTCATTGGAACGCGACACTTATCACGAGGAGAATCAGTAATGAAAATTCTGCAACAAGAAGCTGCAGCAAAAGGTGCACGGATACTTACCACGGACTTTTCTCTGCCGTCAAACTCACTCTTTCATATCTTTGTTTGACACGCTCAGGGTTATACAAGGAAACTATGGAATCACCGCACCCACCATTCTGGAATATTCCGCAACTTTCAATATCAACGAAGATATATCAAGGTCTTCGAGTGAAACTTGGACAACACGCCATTGCTCTTTATTCCCGACAAGTAAAACAAAAACTTGCAAAAAATGGGAAGGGAGAGGTTGAGCATTGCAACAGCACAGTGTCATTTCAATGCCCCATTTCTCTTGTTCGAATGAGCACACCGGGACGTGGGAAAAAATGCAATCATGTGCAGAGTTTTGATTTAGAGGTGAGTAGCTTAATGCTTCTCTGATGATGTGCACATCGTCGCGTTTTTTCAACTGTCTTTTGATGTTGCTTTGATATCACCAGACATTTATCCAAATGAATGAAAAGAAGGATGTTTGGAAGTGTCCAGTATGTGCAAGGCAGATCAAGTGCTCCGACATTGTAATTGACGCGCTTGTGTTGGGATTAATGGACATGTATCCGCAAGATATGAAGTGCATTTTAAGAGCAGATGGAAGCTGCCTACCGTGGAGTAAAAAGAATGAAGGGGTGGAGGAAGATGTTAGGGACACAGTAGAGATATATGATTCTGATGATAGTGAGGAAATGGAGAGGAAAACAGCATTGGTGGCAGTAAAGCAAGAGTGTTGAAATACAAGCAATAACGTGATATTTCTTTTCTGGGACAGTTCCATCAACGATTTGCACCAAATATGATGTGCTATTCACTCAGACAGAATCAGCGAGAAGCGTGACTGACTTAAGCCAGCGCCCCGACCTAACAGCTGTGTAACAGCAATCTTCTTCTGTGTGCAAGCGATTTTGAGTGTTTTGTGAGCAAATAAAAAACAAAAGCTGTGGAGGAGCTGGGGATTGAACCCAGGGCCTTCCGCATGCAAAGCGGACGCGCTACCACTGCGCTACACCCCCGATGCGATTGAATAAAAATGCAACAAATTCAAATCTATTAATTGCAAATTGTCGCATACTTTTTTGTTCCATTATCATCTTCTTACTTATTTGAAGGACGCACAGGATGGCTGATTTTTGTCAATAAACTCTCAACGCAAGAATGCAAGGCTTGAGCAGAGGCCCACTCCTCAAAGGACGATCCCACTGTCCGCCGTACAAGAGAATGGCCACTGGGCGCTTCACGCAGTCTCAACGGGCAGGGATTTTGTTCCCTGGTAAGATTTACAGATGCAACTAAGTGGTCAGAGTGGTTTTCCTCACCAAACTTCAAAATGTTGCACACCTGAATAACACAGCCAAACGAATTCACAGATACCTCAAAAGAGGTCGCTACTCGAAACGAGTCGGAGCTGGATCGTCCGTTTACCTTGCCGCAGTATTGGAATACTTGGTAGCCGAGATACTTGACCTGTCTGGAAAGGCTGCTCAAGACAACAGCCGAGTGAGAATCAATTCGCGTTATTTGACGCTTGGAATTCGAAATGACACGGAGTTGGCTGATCTCCTGGCAACTGTAACTATCAGTGAGGGCGGCGTGCTTCCCTTTATTCACCCGACTCTTCTTCTTCCGAGTCCCGGTGCTCAAGCGTATGAATCCCGCAGGAGAATCGTACGCGACGATGAAGAACTGAATGAATGATTTAGTTTGCGGGCCCGTTTTCTTTCTTGCACAATTTGCTTTCTCAGTCATTCAAAAAGTAAAAGGATTCGCGGGTGTGTTGGTTCTTGGATTGTGCGATGTTAAATTGCAGTGATAAATTCAGTGACAAATTTAAAAACATCAAAACACAAGGAAACATGTCGTTGAACATGGACGACGAGAGAATGATTGCCATCCTCCAAGGCGGTGGCAATCTAGGAGACCATGACGATATTCGGTATGAGGGCTCCTCAGACGTGAGCGAGTGCGGCAGTGACGCGTCCGAGTGTGAACAGGGAGAGCAAGGATGCAGCAGCCATGCAAACAACTCAAACAACAACAACTCGCAAACTTCAACTGCTGTTCATGATGTTGCAGTCAGACAAGAGCTCGGGATCGGCGGTGCCATGACGGGTCCGAAAGGTGTCATCAACGACCGAGCATTCCATAGACAGCAGGAACGCGCACGGAGTGACTTGCGGCGGTTGGAGCAGCACAGCAAAGTGTCGCAGAAGGCGCTCAAGTCCGGTTGGCTTGGCCGTCAGCTTGAGGCTGAGCAGAAAACGTGGAGCTACGGAGACAAGCGCGGCGATAACGTCAAGGATGAGATTGACGAAATTCTGCAGGCATTGGAGGAAGAAGGGGATGACGATGATTTCATCAAGCAGTACAAGGGCAAGCGTCTCTTGGAGATGGCAAACATTTCGCTGCAGCCCACGTTTGGAACGTTCCGAGAAATTGAAGTCGATGAATTTGTCGAGTGCGTGGAGAAGCATCCTGATGTGACTGTCATTGTGCACATGTACCAGCCGCAAGTGGAGGCTTGCAGACTTGTGAACGCGTTCTTGCAGCGACTTGCACTTGACTACACCGCAGTGAAGATGGTCGGAATCATCTCAACAAAGGCAGACCCGAACTTTGACGACATTGCGCTGCCTGCCTTGCTGATTTACAGGAATGGGAATTTGGAGAAGTCGCTGTTAAGAATAACGGATGAGGTGGATGGATGGGCGAGGAGCGGGCGCTGCAACTTGGAGGACTTTGAAGATTACTTGGTCAAGAGCAGAGTCTTGAGCAAGAATTGAAACTCGAGAAGTGGTCCAGCTTTCACAGCCACGTCCACAAAAACGATTGCTGAAAATAAACCAAAAATGAACCTCAACCTCAGTGCGAGGATGCCTCAACAGGTTGAATGGAAGTATCTTGCAGCAGCAGCAATTGGAGCTGTATCTGCGCTCGCTGTTGTTGGCGTTGTGCAGCGCGTGTCGAAGCAGTCCCGAGTGAAGAGCATCAAAAACGAGTTCAAGCGACTGTCGGAGTTCCCACCAATGGAAGCTCAGAAGAAGGATGTTCCGGAGGAGCTCATCCGGGAGCAGCTATCTAGAAACTATTCATTCTTGGGGGAGGAGGTAGGCATGGACATCCGACTGTGCTGACAGTAAACTCTTAACACATCTTGTCAACTTAGGGTATGAAATCCGTGCGGTCTTCGTTTGTTGTGATTGTGGGTCTCGGTGGGGTCGGAAGTCATGCGGCGCACATGCTTGTGCGGTCTGGCGTGCAGCGCATTCGTATTATCGACTTTGACCAGGTGCGTTGGGCAGTGTGCAATTGAGCGAAATGAGCCAACCCTCATGATGTACATCGCACCAGGTGTCGCTGTCCTCCCTCAACAGACATGCTGTGGCAGTCCATGCAGATGTCGGCACCTCGAAGGCAAAATGTTTGGCCAACCATTTCAAAGAAATCACTCCCCAGGCAGAGGTGGAGGTCGTGGTTGAACTGTTCAGCATTGATGTTGCCGATCGCTTGTTGGCCGGCAATCCTGACTACGTTTTGGGTTTGTGACGCCTAGCTTTCACGGACTCCGTTGCTGACTTCTTCTTTTTCCTCCTCAGACTGCATTGACAACCTAAACACCAAGATTGATTTGCTCAAATACTGTCACGATCACAAACTTAAAGTCATTTCTTCCATGGGCGCCGGTGCAAAGGCAGACCCATCTCGTATCCAAATCGCCGACATCAGTGACACAAGTGAAGACCCTTTAGCCCGCGCAACTCGAACCGGTCTCAAAAAGAAGGGCGTGGACTCTGGAATCGCTGTCGTTTACAGCACCGAAAAACCGGGAAAAGTGAAGCTGTTGCCCATGGCCGATGATAAAGTCGAAGACGCGGACGAGTACGCGACATTGCCAAACTTTAGATCGCGCATTCTACCTGTCCTTGGAACATTGCCTGCCCTGTTTGGGATGGCGATGGCTTCCTACGTAATTTGCCAACTTGGAAACTTTGAAATGGAACCGCTGCCCATCAAACTGCGTCGCAGAACATACGACAAAATTCTCGGCAATATCAAGATGAACAGAAAACCAGAAGACGGCGACCTCCAAATCAACGCCCAAGACGTTGGGTACTCGCTCGAAGAAGTATGGCTCGGCAAAAGTGCACTCTCGGGCAGTTTGGATAAGGACAAGGTGACTTTGACTCGATGGGATGCATCAAAGCCATGGAAAGTGGACAACTTGATTTGTCTGACAAAGAAGGAGAGCGACGAGCATGCGAAGCTGGATTCTTCAAAGTTTGTGGATCATTATGGAAGGGAATTTGTTACAAAAGTTGAGAACAAGTTACAGCAAGTGAGGGATTGGGAAAAGTGGCGGGGATAGTTGGACCAGAAGTATCAGCAACTTGTTGGAAACAAGCGCGCCTGAATTCGCAATGATTGCATTTTTGACGTACGTACGTTCGAACTTGAATACATTTATTGGAACTGGGAACTGTGCCGCCTCTCTTGCATTTCATTGTCTATATTGATACTGCTCGCATGTCTTGTGTGGGTGCCGGCACACCTTCCTTGACTACCCAGGGTGCTATTGGGGTCTATTGGGGTCTACCTCGATAAGCAATTGAACGATTGGCGCAGTTTTCAACGCACGCACCCAGCTGACATTACATAATTCATGCTATTTATTTATTATTATTTACCACCTGAACACATTTTACAAAAGCATTGACCATCTTCGCACTGTCCGGCACCACTCTCCAAACTCCTGACTGCCGACGCCGATATCAAACATCAAAAACTCCAACGCATCCCTTTTGATCTGGAAAATGCCGCCAGCGCCGTCCATCATGTCTTCAACGCGTGTGCTTGCGACTGTCGCAGACATGGACCCATCCACAGGGATACCACTCCATTCGGCCCAGAGTTTAAGCGATAAAGGATGATCTGATGAGTACTGGTCGGCGAGGACGAGCCCTGCAACCAGCAGGCGTGCCGGCGAGTGAAGTGAAATGGGAATGCAATTTTGGTTCGGGACCGATCTTGGACCTGAAACAGCCCCACAGCCAAGCTTGATCGAAATTCCCGAATTGGCGACTGAGCCGCGTCTGCTGTTTGTGCCACCAAAACCGTCCGCGAAACTTGTTTTGCCAACTGACGCTCCAGACACGCTGGTCAAGATGCGATGGACAAGCAGGAGTGCATGCATAACGACAAAGGGGGAACTTGGGGTAATGCTGTTCCCGTTGAGTGCTCTTGCTCCGAAGACCGACAGAGCGTGTACGTGATGCTTCAAGAGCATTGTGTTCCCGTTTGGTGCTAGACGGCGGTGCAGCTGGGTTGCCGGGAGGGCGTTGGCGGGAGGGTTGTGAGATACTAGGGCAAGTGTTGTTCTTGTGGCGAGAACTGCGAGTGACGAGTGCGTTTGTGCTGAGAGAGTGATTGGGAGCGGGGTGCGAGCTGGAGGTAGCGAGAGAGAAGTGTTGGTTTCTTTGGGTTGGAATGTTTGGGCTGTGATGGCTTCTCTTGCCTGGACCGGTTGAACCGACCCTCGAGGCGAGTCGTCGTCAGCCTCACCCGATGAGGTCGAGATTGGTGATGAAGAGCCTGATGATGATGCTGAACTTGAACTTGTCTCGGCGGAGGAGATATCGGTGGGGCAGTTGCTGTAAAATGCCAAGTACTGACGCTGGGGGATACTTCGCATCCTGGCTGGGGAGGCGTGCTTCAGCAGAGGCGCTAGAGGTGCGTGTAGAGGTGTCAAATCTGGTAGGGGCGAGCCGGTGCAGGACATTTCTCTGTGTGAGGATCCGTCAGTGCCATGGTTGCAAGCGAGGGACAAAACAGGTGAGATACCTTTCTTTACATAATCAATTACCTCTGGGTAAGGACGGAGGCCGGCTGTTGATGCGTGTTTGGAGGTGCTGTATTTGGAACAATGGAAGGCAGCAGTCTCCTTTTATAAACTGGCATCAGAACTGGTCACCTTGCGTCGAAAAATCTCAAAAACAAATTTTGTCCGAACCGACGCCAC